CCTCCTCTCTCCTCCCCTCTCCTCTCCTCTCCTCTCCTCCCCTCTCCTCTCCTCTCCTCTCCTTTCCTTCTTTCTTTTTTTCCTTTCTTCTCAACATCATGGATACAGAGGCTTGGAACCTTATTATTTGATACTTCTTTGAAAACAAGGCACAGGTATGTAGGTTGGGCTGATAGACCTCTTCGTGACACATATTTTTTGGTTTTTGTCTTACTACTTAATCTAGAAATAACCCCAGGAATAAACATATAAATATATATGTATTGCTATATTTCAGGATGAATAAATTAGACTAGGAAGATGAATATTCATGGTTTCTTATTTTCTAAGTGCTTCTGATTGAAGGGTAGCTAGCTAATAGGAAGGTACACCAGCAGAAATGAATTAAAAGGGACCCCTGGAGCCTTGGAATCATCATTCTATGTGAGATCTGACTTTTATCTGTGGCTAATTCTTCAGTTTCTTCTGCATTATAAATATCTACCTCTAGATTCCTTTTTTCTACTTTCACACTGGCATAAATTTAGATTCTGGGACCCACAAGTCAAAAAGGCTGGATCCCCAGGCAAGCATTTCAGAAAGGGCCCTTTTTCTATTGCAGAATCAAGACATCTCCCCCGGAGAGTTTCCCATCATGCAAGGCAGGAATTGTTTGTGCAGCATTTGTACCCATCTTGGATAGGAACCGAGCTCAAAGATGATGATATAGGTGCACAGAGAGGGCAAGATGTTTAGGGCTTCACAGAGTATTTGACAGCTGTGAGAACGAGCTTTACCTGCTGGGCAGACCATTAAATTAGATAAAACCTTTTCGAAGAAGAGAGGACTTTACAGAAAACTTACCTTTTGTACAGTTAAATTTTGCTTCTTTTGTGAAAATAACAACATGGACACGTAGTCCATTGAATTAACGCAACGTATTTAAGAGTCACAGTTAAGAAAATTAGATCCCAAATTAGTTCCACATCTCTGACCCAAGGCCATTAATCTATAGGTCCTCCTTCAAATTAAATAAAATTGAGAAAGAAGCAAAGTTTCCTTTTTTTTTCCTATACCATGTTCTAACAACCAGCTAGTTTCATCAGTCACCTACTACTTACGGTACCAATCAACAATAATGATAATAAAGAGATGTGAGATTCATGTTATTGTCAGAAAACACATTTTCTTATCAGTAAGTGGGTATTTTATATAACTTTCCCCCCATTATCTATAAATTAAAAAAAAAAAAACTTTCCTCTTACCTGAAGGATCTTATCACCAGGCTGCAGCAGGCTGGATGCTGGCCCATCAGGCTGAACCCTAGTAACAAAGATACCCTATAAGTCAGAAGTAACAGAGGTTAGGATTCTATTACCAAGAACTAGATTTTAGATTTGTTTGCTATTAATTCACACCAAAAATTCAGATTATTATTTTTAACAAAAACAAAAAACTTGTGAAAGAATCCATTCATGTTAACTTCAACAATGGGATTATAGGTACCCTTGATGTACAAAGTCACCATCACTAAAATAAAGGACTGAACATGTGTGGGAGAAACTCCTCAAGTTTTCTAAGTGCACAATGGGATTTTTGTGAGTTCATCTGATAGCAGTTTCTTGGTACGTAGCAGAGAACTCTATTGTCTTAATTACAAACTCAATTATCTTTCATGTGCTCACACTCTTCCATTCTGTTTTCAATCATTCCATCCACCTGGGAGGTAGCCCCTTCAAGTGATATACGGTATATATACAATATACAGATATTATTAATTCAGTGCAATGTTTTACCAGCTTGAGTGGGAGCTGAATATGCTGATTTATTTCAGAGATTATCTTGTGTTTCATTGAGATTTCGTCTAAATCATTTTCTATTTATACAAAAATTGAAAGCACATTGACTGAAATACAGATGGTATCTATATGGTGATGAAGTCTCATCAGTTCAGTCCCTAAATTGGACAAATGGATTAGCCAGTGTTATGTAGACAAAACAAGACATTTACTGACTGAATTTTTTACCTTCCAACTGGCTGCTTGAACATTGTGTAGACACAGTCTAAAAGTGCAGTGTTTTTCAATATCAACATAATTATATCTGTTCTGTAATTGGCACAACCATTTATTGTCTGCTGTTCTGAAGACAATACATATTTTTTAAAGTCTAAACTTTAATGTATTAATAAATGAATAAACAAGCTATTCTGAATCCCCATACCTGCATTTAGCCCATTTTTATCCCCTGAAATTTGAGTTCTTATTCCAAATGATATGGGATGGTTGCCATAGAAGTTCCGCTTTAGATTTCCTACTGTTATCCTCCATGTTTAAAGACAATATCACCGAGAGTAGCTAGGACTATATCATGTTCTAACAACCTGCAAGTTTCATCAGTCACACAACTAGGTAGCCAATTAATCAAATGAATGTTTGCCTGAAATGTTAGTTTAGTTAGGGTTAGGGTTTAGTTAGGTTAGTTGGGATTAGTTTACTCAAAATGGCCAATGGATCAGACAACAGTAAACAGACTGTGTTACTCTTGTCATGAACCTAAGACTTGGGGGAACCCAACAATTCTTTCCATGCAAGATGTGTGTGCAATCAGTCTCAAAGGCAGGGGAAGTTTTCAGGGCCCTTTGCTCTTGGTTGTTCTGCCTCTCTGCTCCAGAGGATGAGTGATATCACAGTCCCAAATATGCTCCCACATCTCTGATCACAGCAGCAGGTCAGGCTGTGTGAACACCATCTATGCTCACAGTTTGTAATTTGAGTTTCAGTGGATTTCTTTGGCTCACTTGCTTCAGCACATTGGACAGGGGAAGGTGGGGGTCTGTCATAGACGTCCTTTGTGTATGTCAGGTCTACAGGAACAGGATTGTAGACAGTATAACTGTACTGCTGTGGCCTCCTTACTCTTTGGGGCTTTGTTGTTCCTGAGCGGGTGCCCAGAATGGAAATGTGGACATCAGGGAAACCGTTTAAGAATCCTGACATGTTCTTGTCAGTGGCAGGTTCATTTGAAGGTACCACCTAATGGAGTGCACCCCAGTCACTAACCTGAGGTTGACTCTGAACCTCAGAGGTGACTGCAGTTTCCCAAAGGACTTGCTGGCCTCCTTGATAAGGTTTCAGGTTTGTGGCACTGCTGAATTAGCAGGAGCTGACTGCCTTCAGCCCGTGTCCGATGAAGATCACAGGTATTCTTAGCCTTTCAAGTTGCCGGTGTTTCCCAGAGCACTACAATCTTAGATTTAAGTTAGTGCCCAAATGTTGTTGTTCTTATTTTATTGTTGTTGTTTGGGCTGTCTTTAAAAATGACACGAGGCAGATAAAATAAAGAGGACCCAGCCAAGGTGTGGGGGGTGTCCTGGATTGGAAACTCTTTCCATTATCATAGCTCAGCAGCTCATCTATAATTTGTAGACTTAGAAAATTAATCAAGGCATTGAGAGATAAAATGACTTGTCTAGGGTCACACAGCTATTATGTGTCAGAGGCAGGATTTGAATCCAGATCTTCTAGGTTCCAAAGTTGGCCTTCTCTCTACCACATCATGCTATCTTTAATGGAAGTCTAGACTTAGGTGAATATCAGTGAAGAAAAGGAAAATTGATTTACAAAACTGGATGATCTCATTGTAACATTGGGTGGTGATTCAAAATATAAATTGACAACAATGCCAAAATACAAAAGAAAATCAGCTGATCACATGAATGTCAAGAACTCTTCTATGGAGCTCTCCTATTCAACAAGAGCACGGCCATCATCATGTTCTTACAGCACCACCTTTCATCTGCTAGACAATGTGAAGGGATCACAGATGTGCCAGAGACATGATTGGAGGCATCTCACTCACTTTCTGACTCTGCCAGGATGTTGAGATTCTTGTGAATATGGGGTGGGGGCAGGATAAGAGCTGGGAAAAATTCTCACCTGCTCCACTGCATTCCAATGATGCAATCTCCACGTAGGACAAGGCAACCTCACTCGTCGGTTTACTGTGATGCATTAGGAGGAGGAAAATATTCACAGAGCCCTAAAGCAACAACTTCCTAGCAGTCCAATGGGAAGAGTAAAGTACACTTGGAAAACATCTTAACTGGCGAAACTATCTGGTTTAAATTTTGCATATCTCCTGTATATACTTAGAAACAGCCGGCATAATAGATAGGAAGCTGGTTTTGAAACCAGGAAGACCTGGGTTCAAGTTCCATCTCTGACACATGCTGGTTCTGTGACCCTGGGTGAGTCCCTGAAGCTCTCAGGCCCCAGGCACCGCTCAGGGACTCTCATTTTCAGAGAAATTGTCCACTTGCATTGATAAATGAAGTTTCCTCACCTGGAAAATCACAAGTCCAGTCCCTGTCTCCATCTATTTATAGGTACCTGTTGACTCCTCATGAGGATCTGTGCTCCCTGAGGGTAGGGGCTGGGACTCTTATCTTCACATCCCTGGCACTTTGCACAATGGCTGGCCTGGAGGAGGGGCCTCATAAATGCTTCATGTAGAAGAGATTCACCTCCTAACATGGACATGCAGGCACTGCTTTTTGAACCAAGCATGAGCACAGCATGACTCCAGAAGAACCTGGAAGTGCCACAGCCTTCAAGCTATTATCCAGCCAGGAATAAAGCTCAGACGTGTCCAGATCAGCAGGTGATCAGCAGGCATGCACCCAGTCAGCTCAAATCTGAATCCGGCATTCAGCACAATGCCATTTGATGCATTTTTTATTCAATTTAAGACCCTTCTTCATGTCAATCACAATGAATTGTCCAAAGTTCTAGACAGCCATCCCAGGAACATTTCTGCCTTTGAGCAGTCATCCTGGAAGAAATGAGTTTGGAGGCATATTCCACAAGGAATAAGATGTGACTGCTGAGCAGATTGTCTGCATGGAGACTACTGGATACACAACTTGATGAAAAAGATGAGCCCTGCTGTCCACAGTATAAGTATCTGAAACTACAACTTTAGAGGAATTTAATGATGAAAGCCGAAAGTTATGACAGCCTTGTCCATTACAAATGCAGATACCAAAACTGATTTTTCCCTAGGGAAATGTGAATTGCAACTCCCATTTATGGAATGCAACAGTTAAAAACTCTAGGCCACTCATCTCTGTCTCTGAGGAAATAATTTCTGTGAAGACCACAGCACACACAAAATGCCTAATAATGATTAGAGGACTACAATTGAGAAAACATTAAATAATCCATCTGACATGGCATCACCCAAGGAATGGTAGATAAATGTTCAAAGGGTCATTCTGAAAATAACTGATTCCTGGACTTGGCCAACAGAGTCACAGACTCAGAGGGGTTGTGCTCTTTGACTGACTCTGTTACATGGACCATTCTCACTACACTTCCCTTCCTGGCATGTCCTTTGTCTGGGCTCTGAGCCAGCATAATCCCATAACTTTAGACCTGCAGAGACACCTAGGGGACACATAATTACCACACTTACTTCTGGTCACCTTCCCAAGAGAGTAGTATCTTGGGGCACAATAAGGAGAATACAAGAGGCAAACACTCAGAAGCACCAACCAACCATGTACACTGCTCTCTTTGTTTTTGTATACTCAGCACCCAGCACTATGCCTGGCATAAGTAGGCACTTAAGTGCTTTTTGACTGACTGACTATTGCCTGATAGACTGAAGTTTCTTCCAACTTTGAAATTCTGTGATTTTGATCTGTATCCTTGGCTCTTGGCCGTCAGATTTTCTAACCTTCCAAAATTTAAACATTTAGTCACATTAAGCATAATTATGGATTTCTAATACAGATTGTAATTTGTCATTGCTTTCATCAAAATGGTCATTAGAATGGTGGTCCATTAGCCATTCTGTTTCCAAAAAAGCACTGAAAATCCAGGAATTTTATTAGCATAAAGCATCCCCAATTCCTTATTTTTATTTATAAAGCAGATTCTGAATTCAGATATAATTTAGTTACATTTATGGAAGAACATAGAGAAGAGAGAGAGTGAGAGAGTGAAAGAGAGAGAGTAATGATTACTGTACTAGTTGGTGATGATGCTGTATAGATATTATGGTGAAGAGAATGGATATGATTCTAATCTGTAGGATAGAAATGAATTGCTCAACTTTTTGGATATATGGGATTTTTCCCCCCCAGCTCACCATAGCAGTCTATCAAGTGCAATGAAAAATTCATTTTACAAAATGCTGCTCTGGTGGTCTGGTTCATGAATTAAAAAGGTAAGTGATTTTTTCCCTTCTCACTAGTTGAGTCTGGCCTATTGAGAAATAGACTAAGAAACAGTAATTCAATGATCTTCATGACTTTGCTAGTTTGATGGAAGATTAT